CTAAACTCAAACATCAACCTTCATCAGAAAAGTTGATTCCTATTCACGGAATTTTTTGACCATCTTAAACTTAATATCTTTCAAAACTGTTTAATATACAAGTAGTTCAGATTTATACCTTTCTAATGACTACTTGCTTATCTTCATACGATTTTTCTACAATTTATGGTGATTTTTACAAAACTGCCTATCATTTCCGAAACGAATTCAGACCAGTATGTGAATATAAACATTTTCACATAAGTTAGACACTTCTAAAAATCATAATAAAAATTATGAATAAACAAGACACATTGTCTAAACTCTCAAAGTTTACGTATTCAGTTTTCGACTTTGTATGATTTTTCTATGATTTTTCTAAAACAGTGCCGAAAAGTTAAAATCTAGTTACATAGCTTACAACATTAACAACACTTTGTAGCATGTTGAGCAAAGTATATAACAATAAGTTTCTAAATTATGAATGTATTTCTTGTTAGTCTAACATCATAAACATAGATTAGACATTCATGATAAGGGTTTTCATGTACTTCTAATAAGTACAATAAACTATAATAAGTATAGTTTATGGATTTTACAATACAAGCATACTACATGAAAAGAGTTTTACTCTCAATACAAATGGGTTTTTCATTTACTACACAATAAACTGTAAAGGGTATAGTTTAGGGAGTTCACATTTTAAACATACCGCACGACAAGGGATTTCAATTTCACCACTGAAAAGGTTTTACTCGTCTTCGTTGTACTCTTAGAGTACGGGTTAAAATTCCTGAATAGTTATAACCAGAGTCTCTTGTAGGGAGAGCATGATAATTGTGTATAGATCTATATTGGGATTGACACCCCACACCTTGCTGCTAGCTACAGCGGGACCTGCAGGTCTACGGGTGACAAAAGTCATAGGATCTTGACGTCTGAAAAACGTTGTAGCAGGTTCATTCTAGTTATAGTATGGTTATAACGACTCACATAGGGAGTTAACAACATTTCAAGTTTACGGGAAAATTCTACTTTAAAAAGGGGTTTTATCTATTTAAAACTGCATACATCGTTTTAAGTACGAAATACGCACATACACTCGGTCTTGGGATTTAAGACTACATAATATTTTATAAGGAAAAATATTGGATTTTTCTTGTGTATACATTACATCTACAAATAAGGGTTTTCCAACACTACAACCAAAAGCTTATGAACTCACCAACTTAATTGTTGACACTTTTTCGAAATTACTTGTATTCTCAGGAAATCAGTGAAATAGGAAATCAACAGCTTTTGAGGATGGGACGTTAAATCGTCAAACATTTCATTTTTGTCATCATAGTGTAATTGATTTTGAAACATGTAAACTCATACTACGATGTAACTTTTTCAATTATAATTATGATGGTTGTATTTACTATGAGCACTATTATACTCATTGTTGTGATACTATACATGAAGTCATTCCCACCCCCGGACGTTTCTGCCATCCTTGGTTTGGGGGTGTGACAGATTGGTATCAGAGCATTGTTTATAGTGAACATAGTATATCAAACCATATAGGATATACAAACTATAAACACAAAGGGACTAAGAGTCTCTGATTTAAATGTTTTCCCTACAATTATACTTTTAAAAATAATAAAACGTTATTCTTATGAAAAAGTATAAGTACATACATGCATACCGGTATAGTGTCACGCCTAAGGAAAACGCAAAAGTTAAAAATAGAGGAGTTGTGCACTGTGATTATGCATTGGGATATGTAATCAAGACTGGGAGGAATATAGCCTGATCAACTATATTCGTCCGAGAAGTGGCTAGTATATGCCGGGGAATAGTCATAGTGGACAACAAGTCTATCAACTTACCAACACCCATACAAGAAACGCGATAAGAATCAAACACAACCTTTAAAATACTATAGGAGTATTACTGACTGATAAGTACTAGCATGCAAGTCTACAAGCTTATACATCAGGCATACAAAGGTATCTCTCCTAGATCCTTAGCCCTAATCTAGCATACAATTCACAGATTCATAATTCAAAACATATCATAAACATGTATGGGTATTGTGGGATAACTTACTTGAGTTTGGTTGATTGCATGCACCACACCGTTCCATTTTTTTTAGAAACCTCTTTCTAAGAATTTATTTTTCTTTTTGAAAACTCTTACCAAATCCTAAGTTTGAGTTCATACACACCCGAGAGTGTATCTGAATCCCTCAAATCAAGTCTCTAATACCAACTTGAAACATCAAAAAATTATGACCCAAAAATTTCATTTTTGATTTAAGTAAAAACAGTATTCCAAAACATTGTTCATACAACCCAATAAAATAAGTATGTCAAAAATCATAAAAATCAGAGTATGTCCCATAAACAACATCCATATGGTGTGTGCGATGTAGTCAACCCGAGCTCTTCCCCTTGGAAACGGAAGTACCTGAAACATAAACTAAAAACCGTAAGCACAAAGCTTAGTGAGTTCCCCAAGATACCGCATACCAAACATATCATATAACGGGCCCCACCCAATGAGATACGGGCCCCGCCCAGACTTACATAATGGGCCCCGCCCAGTGAGATATGGGCCCCGCCCACACTCGCATAATGGGCCCCGCCCAATAAACATACATATACAAGCACATACAAGTATCACACAGAAAAAAAGTATATCGACATAACCAATCAAGGGTCGTCTTTGGTTCCTTAGACCCACTAAACCCAGTGAGGAACTCACCTTGAATGTTGAGTCTCACTGAAATAAATCCCTAGCTGCTGCCATGACGACTCCCCGAGTTGACATTACAAAATAACACCCGATAAACACTTGGGTTCCATTCCAAAATAAATGATTAAATCTTGGGATAAAATGACCATTTTACCCCCTGGCCTAATATGATCCAAAACCAAGGCCCAAGACCACTTGTTCCTTAAAGGCCCATTTATGGCCCAATTTTTCAAATTGGGCCCAAAACCCCAATATGGGCCTTACCCCTAGGCCTAATAAACACACTCAGTCTAAAGGCTCGATTTCAGATGGCCCATTGATGCCTAAAACAGCAATGTCCAAGGAAATAGCCCAACCGAGGCCCAAAAGACACAAAGCCCAAATCATTGAGTACGCGAGGCGTACTTAACTGTACGCTAAGCGTACAGGCTGCATGGCTTGTACCTTGCGCGTACGAGCTTGTAAGCCCAACGTACTAACCCATTAAGCTCTTTCTCCATTAAGCTCTAAATTACTTAAGTCCAAGAGTCCTAATCACAGATCTGAGTCATATGCAACATCTTAAACCATAAAGTCATTAACTTGGTAGCTTTGCATGCCCCAAATGAACCCAAACCCGAAATACAACACTCTACTTCCATTAAATGAACTCAAACTCATGCATGGATGGTTCTAAGCTTCAAAGATGGCAACTTTATGACCTTAGGACCAAAAGAACACCAAGAGTAGCAACTCTAAGCTTCAGAAATGACAATAATCCACAATATCTCATCTATGGGACCAAAAGGGTCCAAAAACTCAAACAAAGGAGATCTAAGCTTTAACAAAACAAGTTCTTAGCTTTATACCTCAAATGAGTGCCAAATGATGACGATAACTCGGATCTTCAAGCTCAAGCTCCAACAACTCTTCTTCACCAACTTCTTATTCTTCCTTCTAAGGCTCCAAACTACCAAAATACACTCCACAAGGTCAAGAACACACCAACATGCTATATGGTTCAATATTAGGGTTTCTGGACTATAGAGGCTGATAAGGAGGCTAACACTTGGGACTTAATGGCATTATATAGGGCTTGAACCCTAAAAATTAGGGTTTTGAGTCTGACCACGTACACTGCACGTACCACCTTGTACGTTGCACGTACGTGCATGCCTCCGCGTTCTTTGTGTTCTAATTACGCCCCATATACACCAAGCTTACGTCTAGCGTACGACCTCAGCTAAGTCCGCTCACAAAGGCCCAATCCACTAAGCCCAAAAGAGCTTACATGATTTAGACAATTAAATAAATAATACCTTAGAACCATCGGGTGTTACATACAAACTCTAAATTACATGTTGGAAAAAACGGCATGTCAATCTAACTTAAAGAGAATGAGATCCGCCTGTTTAAAAATTTTCACAGACAACAAAATTTAAATTTTTGCTGTAAAATTGAAATATTTCAGCTTTGATATCTCATCTTTGAAGGATTTGTAACTCATAGAATATAACACCAAAAACAACAAAATTATAGTCTAAAATCATATACAAACTCTAAATTACACGTTGGAAAAAACTTCATGTCAATCCGACTTAAAACGAATGAGATATGCTTGTTTAAAAGATTTCACAGAATACAAAAGTGTAAATTTCTTGCTGAAAAACCGAAATATTTCAGCGTTGATATCTCAACTTTGAACGATTGTAACTCATCGAATATAACACTAAAAACAACAAAATTATAGTCTAAAATCATTTACAAGCTCTAAATTACACGTTAGAAAAAATCGCATGTCAATCCGACTTAAAATGAACGAGATATGTTTGTTTAAAGAATTTCACAAAATATAATTTTTTTTAAATAAGCCGGTCCAAAGCCGGTTTTTACCCAGAACCGGCCGGACCGGACCGGTAAATAAACCGGACCGGTTTTGCTCAAATCCTAGAACTGAGAACCGGCCTAGGAGTCCAAAAAACGGTCCGGTACGGTTTGGTCTGCAGATCCAAATGCTCATCCCTATGCTCGGGTGTGGTATTATGTAGCCAAGATGTAGTAAAGTTGAAATGAGGTTTCCATAAAACACTTTTAGTAGTGGATGTTAATCATTCCAATAACCCACCATATCAGCCCCAAGCTTTGCCGGGGTATGGTATATCGTGTAGTCAAGTATCCTATAGCCTTGATCCACCGTTGAAGGGATTAAGTCATCGTTGACTGGACGTTTTGGAAACTATGAAACAAACGGCATCGATTAATGGCTACACAGTAACGATCTACAACCTCCTACACCGCATAATTATCACTTCAACAAAAGCCAGTTCCCCTAAAGTCATCATCGAAAGCTCCACCGTTGTCCTTCAGCACCGCCCTCGCTCCGATCGGACCTAACCTTTTCCGACTACCAGGATATATACCGACGGACGGAGAAAGAGTTGAACGGAGGAATTCATCGCGGAAAAGCTGAGAGAGAATGTCGCTAACGAGTGTAAAGATGTCGGAGGATGTGTGGTTAACATGTCTCACTCATGCATTGTCCACCGAGACTGAAGAAATTATGGGGCTTCTTCTCGGCGATATTCAGGTCATACCTTTGCATCATGTCTTTCTCTTTCTTTAACTTTTAGCTATTTACAACTGCTTTTAGGGTTTTTTAGCTTATCAATACATTTTGTCCGCTCCAGAGCTATTGCCATTGCTTTCTGTGAATAAAATCATAATCTGATCGACAACGTCTGTGTAATTCCGTCTATTTCTTCGAAACTATTCATGTGCAAGCGGCATAGTTTCATCTTTGCTAAACCCGGTTTTAACTGTTCTTCTTCATGTGTATATGATTAGGACCATGAATTATGTTTCTTACAGTCTACCTGATTTGATTTCCTTACCAAATCGGAGTAATTTGTCACTGTGTTTAGTTGTTAATTCTACAGATGAATATATTCCATCTTTTTTCCTAATATAGAAATGAAAACTAGTTCACCTGTTGCCGAAGCTTGTTGTTCAGTGCTGTTTAACCTCTTTTTGCTCATTGATTCTTTGTTGTTGAAATAAGATGTTGCAAGTTATGCCTATATAATTTGGTGTCTATAGCGATCAGATCTTTGATTGAATGATGCTTAATTGGTTATCTTACAAAATTGCAATTTCAGCACTCCAAAAATGGAAGTGTAACTGCCCTAATTTGGGGAGCATTGCCACAACCAAGATGTGATAGGCAGAAGGATCGGGTTGAGACAAATCCTGAGCAGCTGACAGCTGCATCAGTTCAGGCTGAGATATCCTTTATATGTATTAAACTATTAATATAACAATTTTGCATATAAACATATTATTATCTCTTTACACTACAACTATTTTAAGGTCAACATATCCAGTGAAAAACATTTGTATTTGTTCAATTAACTCTACAACACAAAATGACTCTGGAAACTGGAAGAACAACAAGAGTGATTGGCTGGTATCATTCACATCCACATATCACAGTCCTTCCTTCTCATGTTGGTAAGTTTTCATATACAGTGTCTAAAAAAAAGGTACTTTACAGTTTACTGTCTTTCTTTTTCTTACTCTAAAACTCTAAATCAAGATATATCATTTTGTCAATTTCCTTTTCAGATGTTCGGACTCAAGCTATGTATCAACTTCTAGATTCTGGTTTCATAGGATTGATTTTTTCATGTTTCAATGAAGATCAATACAAGGTTCTAATCTTAACTAAACTGTTTGCAACTTTGCATATGTAATTTCTTATACAATAACTGTGTATAGAAATTAGAAATGACATGGTTTTATTGGCTATAGATAAAACAAAGCTTTGAAATTTTATTAAGTGTCTTGATTCAGGTTGGAAGAATACAAGTTACAGCATTCCAGTCATTAGATGGAAAGCAAAACCATGTATTGAAACCTCATTTCAGTCCTATAAATAAAAGTTCCATTATAGATCTAGAATCTTCCTTAAGTTCCACAGAGAATTCACTCACACATTCTGGCTCAACACGTGTAGAATCTCTAGAGTATGACACTGGTGATTCAAAAGCTTTAAAGGTATATTTAATTTGCTTATTAAGCATTAAGGTAATAATAGAATCAGAATTCTTTCTCTAATTTTACAAAATTTGAGGGATACAGGGTGGAGCAAAACCATCTGCTTTGAAGGGTTTCTTTGCAAATGCAGATACTGTGAACACAGAAAGTGGCATAGTTGATATTGACCCCATGGATATGTCTGAAAGCATACAAGAAGCAATGCATCGTTCAAATATGGAAATGAGGTAATATCCAAAAATGTCTTATTATTATTATTATTATTATTTCATGTGCATAACAGAATTTAAAAAAAAAAAAAAAACTTTTAATTGATGCAGTGGTGCAGAATATGTGAGAAAAGAAGTTCCTCTTCATGTTTTGCCAACTTTGTCACTTCTGAATCTTGAATCACCTTTAACATCATTTAGTCATTTACAATCTGTGTTATATGAAGAGGAGCGAACAGCATATCATCAAGCAATATTACAAATTATGAGGTACATATAAATATAATATATTATTATTATTATTATTATATAAACATGTTCTTTTATTGAATATAGAGTGATTTATTTGATGTAGGGACGGAAAAGCCCATCCGCTTTCTTTCATCCATCATACTTCCACTTATCAAGCTTCCATCTGCAAATTAATGGAATATTGGTGAGAAATTATAACCCCTTTTTTCTATTTTTTTTAATTTTGTTTTTTTATATTCCTGGCTCATGAAATAAACTTTAATTTGCAGTTTAAGCCCTGCTATAACTGCTCTTCAGGATCGTGTGACAGAAAATGAGATTAGGGTATGAATAATATTTTCTCTCTTGTGTATATTAATTAGCATCATAATATTGTTTTTATAGCATGATATATATTAAATTTTTAATATTTGAATCAGCTTCGGATGCTTGCAAATGAAGCGAAAATTCTGGAAAAAGAAAGCACAAGAGTGAATGTGAATGATTCAAGTTCAAATTCACCAAGAAATGTTTCATCTCATGGGCACAGAGGAAGTGGGAAGGATTTGTACAATCCCTTTGAATCAAATAATGTGAGATCTGTTTCTGGTTCCAGTAGTCGTAGTAGAAAAGGTTCCTAGTTCCTAGTTGCTTTTTTTATTTTTTATTTTAATTTTGGGTATGTCATGTTTCAGCTTTTGGTTCATTAATGGAATTGTATGATATTGGAATCATGTTTTGTTAGGTAGTTGATTGGATTGTAAATGGCAATCAAGTTACCTATGTATATTTTTTTGATCAAGGGTTAGGCCTCGAAATTAAAACATCTTGTTTTAAAATGTGAAATCAACTTTTAGATTGTGATTGGGTTAAGTGGCTGAAATGGGTGAAGTGATAGAAGGTATAATGATATCTGTTTGGGTTAAATGTTGTGGTTTGTTTGTTTCTTTTCTTGTTTGAATAAATAATGAGAGTAAATGATAATTTTACTATTACATTTCATCAAACAGTTCACAATATCATCGATTTTATCAGTGTTCATTAATTTTAACGTGAAATGAGTTGGACTGAAAAATAAGAACAATTTGGTAAATGGTTGGTATCTTGATATATTAAGCTATGTTTTTTGGCTTGACTTGTCAAGTCATGTATAACTATCTAGATTAAGTGCTTAACTTATAAAGCTCATTAAGTAAAAAAGAAACAGCCTTTTAGTGCTAACCTTTGTATATGTACCACATGTATGGGACTTAAGGAATAATGAGTCCATATGGCACTTACGAAATAATATAAAAAAATGAGGCAAAAATATGCCCACATGCACACTCCACCACTACATGCATATCATTATTTCCAATTTCATCTCCAAATGCAATCTTTCCAAAGCCCCCGCCATACACACTATTTCCATTTCGAATAGGTGCCCTCAACCCAAATCGGTACCTAAAACACAACCTAAACCATCACGACAGAGTTAAGAGCACTAAAACCACAACCAACAAAAAATTGTAATGCAAAAGGAGAAAGAGACATTGTGTTGTATTTGGGTCAAGATTTATGAGGATAGCATGACCAGGAATACGCAACGTGCAAGTGTTTTTTTGGAACGTATTTTGGCCCAAGTCCACAAATCAATGGGCGGGGAATATCACAGTGTCAACCAAATATCTTCAAAGTGCAATGACTTGAAACAAAGGATCAGCAAGTTCAACAACATTTACTGTTAACTGGAAATGGGTTCATGTACTTGTACACAACAAGAAACACACAGGGATAAAACTTTAAGGAGGGAACAAACACAATCTAAGCTTTACGAGTTAACTTGATTTTCTGGAATGATTAAAAAACTAGATGCCAAAAGAAGCTTACATCAAAAAGGAAACTGCAGAAAAGAAAAGAAACTACCCACTAACTTGTCTACCACTAACTAAGAAAAAGTCAATAACTAAACTACAAAGCAAAATACTGCATAAAGATAAACTGACAAATTGGAACTAACAAAAGCATGCATAACACATGCATATATCCGTTAGATAATAAACTAGGTGTTGTTGTTTCAATATTCCCTCTCAACACCTGTTTCCACCATGCCCAAAATATTGCAAAATTAACTTCTGGCTTGATAAGCTTTTTGTAAACAGATCTGCAGCTTGTTCTTTGGTGTTTACATACTGTAAATCAATTTCTCCTCTAAGAACCTTTTCACGAATGAAATGATAGAGGACTTCTATATGCTTGGTCCGGGCATGAAACACATGATTTTTAGCTAGACGAATTGAGGAGAGATTATCACAGAAAAGTGGAACCTGGTACTCCACATCTTGATTCAGATCTTTTAACAGCTGCAAGAGCCACACACTCTCTTGAGCTGCCATTGCAGCAACACGGTACTCGGCTTCGGTAGTAGAGAGGGACATAGTTGGTTGAAGTTTGCTGCACCATGACACAACACTTGATCCAATCATGAAAATATAACCAGTAGTGGAACGTCGAGTGTTCAGGTCACCAGCATAATCAACATCACAGTAAACTGACAACATACTTCCTGATTCCCTCTTAAACACAATTCCATGGTCCAAAGTTGTCTTGATGTATCTCAATACTCTCCGAATAGCATCAAGATGAGGTTTTCTAGGGTTCTGCATGTACCTGCTTAGGACTCCAACCACGAAAGCAATATCTGGCCTTGTCAAGGTCAAATAGATAAGACTTCCTACTATCGATCTGTACATTGTGGCATATTCAAGTTTTCTACCCACATGTTCATATAGCTTTGCATTGGTATCCATGGGAGTCACCGCCGGTTTACACTCGACCATTCCAAATCGCTTCAACAAATCAGTCATGTATTTCCTTTGATGTAGAACTATGTCACCATCTTCATATTTTACTTCTAATCCCAGAAAGTGATTCAGCTTTCCAAGGTCTTCATGTGAAACCTTGTACACAAGTTTTCTTTTAACAGTGCAACTTCATCATCAAGGTCTCTAGTTATTATTAAGTCATCGACATACACGAGAACAACCACCGCCTTGTCACCAATTGTCTTCACAAATAGACTTGCATCCGCCATTGTTAGAGAAAAAACATTATGCTCAAGAAACTCAGCAATCTTCCCAAACCATGCTCGTGGGGATTGCTTGAGTCCATACAATGCTTTCTTCAGTTTACACACGTATTGTGGATGAGTCTTGCTCTCAAATCCCTTCGGCTGTTCCATGTGAATAACATGTTCTAGATCTCCATACAGAAACGCATTGTTCACGTCCATTTGCCACAAGTTCCACCGTTTGTTAGCTGTTAGGGCAAGAAGAACACGTATGGTGGTTAACTTTGCTATAGGGCTGAACGTTTCCTCATAGTCCATCCCAAATTGTTGTGAAAATCAACGGGCAACAAGCCTGGCTTTAAACCTCTCCATAGATCCATCTGCACGTCGTTTAACCTTGTAAACCCATTTACACGAGATGGGCTTAACATCTTTGGGCTTGGGAACCAATTCATACGTTTGATTGCTTATTAGGGCAGATACCTCCTCTTTCATGGTTACGATCCATTCTGAGACTTCACACGCCTGGTCATAATTATATGGTTCCTGAATTTCATCTTCGATTATGGCAACATTAGCATAACGTGGATTCGGTTTTCTTACTCTAGATGATCGCCTCATAGGGATCTCGTCATTTGACTCCACACGATGAAATATGCCTGACTGCCAAGGTTGTTGTGCATGGACTTCAATATTGTCTTCTTCAACCACTGTTTCACTTTCGTCCAGGTTAAGTTTAACCTTAGATGACTCTAGATTCTCTTTCAATGTTTCTGAGTCTGGCAAAGTTTCACGGTTCGTTGACCACCAGGAGGATGTTTCATCAAAAACGACATTCCTTGAAACGTAACATTTACCGTTGGTTGGATCACAACATCTCCAACCTTTTCTCTCTTGGTCATACCACGAAGATGCAACGAACAACTTTCTTTTCTAGCTTGTGGCGAAGATGACCTGGGACAAAAACATAGTAAACACATCCAAAAACTCGTAGATGACTCACATTTGGCTTCATGTTCAAGAGCTTTTCAACCGGTGACACATACTCTAAACCTTGTTGAGGAATTCGATTAATGACATATGCAGCTGTCTTCATAGCCTCTGCCCAGAACCTTCCAGGGACATTTTTGTCATGTATCATGCTCCCTCAGATCTCAGTTAGATGCCTATTTTTTCTTTCTGAGACCCCATTCTGCTGTGGGGTATTGGGACATGTTAGTTGTCTTTTAATGTTATGTTCCTTTAAATACTCAGCAAAATCAGTAGCAAGGTATTCCCCTCCGTTATCAGACCTTAAACAGCAAATGGTCTTCCCGGTTATTCTCTCAGCTTCACTCTTGAATTCTTTGAATTTACTAAAGGCTTCAGACTTCTCCTTCATAAAATATACCCAAACACGTCTTGAAAAATCATCAATAAAGGTGATCATATACTTCATACCTTGAAGAGATGGTTGTTTTACAGGACCAAACACATCTGAATGCACCAACTCTAATGGAACCTTACATTGAAAACTTGAATTTTCATAGGGCAATTGATGGGCTTTACCGTATTGACAACCAGCACAAACGAGACCTTTATTCACCTCAAGATGTGGTAATCCATTGACCAACTTCTTCTTCATCATTAGCTCCATCTTGTCATAGCTTACATGACTCAAACGCATATGCCATAGATCCACATTCTGGTTCTTTTTCGTCTTATCAACATATGCCGTTTCAGCAGACATCACATAAATGGACTCTGCACGATGTCCACACGCTATTGGTTGTGATAGAGTTTTGAAATATATGTATACCTTCACATCATCAGGGCCAAATAACACATAGTGACCTGCTCCAGTTAGTTGTGAGACCGAGAGTAAGTTTTTCTTCATCCCGGGTACATGGTACACACCTTGTAACAACAATTCTTTCTTGTTATCTCCTGGACAGAACTTAACATCACCAACATGAGTAATTGGAAGTTTAGAATCATCTGCAATTACAACTACCTTGCTGCCTCCATACTTGACTGAACTTTGTATGATCACTTTCTCCCCTATCATATGGTTATAACAACCTGAGTCAACGATCCACTCATCTAGTTTACTCTTTCATTTTTCAGTTGTACCTGTTAGAGCTAAAACGGTTTCTTCTTGAGCAAACAATGCTTCTGCATCCCACTCTTCCTCATTTTGAGTAGTCGCTGCATTACCTTCTTCTGGTGTACTTTTGGGACGATTTCGAGCCATGTGACCTCGAGTACCACAATTGTAACATTTAAACGGAAACCGCTTATTTGAATGGTGGCTTTTCTTTTCTCCTGATGATTCCCCTTTTTCTCCTTCACGCTGCGTCTTATCACCTTCATGATTTCTGTTTTTGTCCCCATATCGTTTTCTACCATGGTTGGATTTGGACTTTCCTTTGCTTTTACCCACATACAAAGCTTCCTATTCTGTCTTGATAGACATACCACTAGTTTGCTTTGCCAAAGCTTCTTGACCAGCAAGTAAGTTTTCGAACTCCACAAGGGATGGCTGTGTAGGCCATCCTTGTATAGCTGCTACAAAACTTCGAAATTCTGGTTTTAAACCATGAATAATAATTCTTTTTATTCTAGATTCTCCAATCTAGACTTGAGGATCAAGCTCCGAGATTTCCCGACACACGGTTTTAATCTTGTGAAAATATTGAGGAATTGACATTTCTCGTTGAGACACCGACATCAGTTCGTTCTCAAGGAGTTGCAGCTTTGTATCATTTTTCTTGGAAAACAGAG